AGACACGCCGTGCACGTGCATACAACCGTTCCCATTCGCGTGCGCAGCCTCGCATAAAGGGCCGTTCTTTTTACAAGCCGATGTACATGAATACACGATGAGAACATGTACTTACGCGACTGCGACCGTGTCCACCGAGGTTTCCGTAACACGTAGTCTCTCTCTCTCTCTCCTCTCTCTCTCTCTCTCTCTCTCTCTCTCTCTCTCTCTCTCTCTCTTCCCCTCTCTCTCGGAACACGGTGACACTTAAATTCGCACATGCTCGTGGGATTCAATTAAATTCAATTGCGGCCTGACGAATAATTGAAGATTCACAAAGCTATAATTATCACCCAAAAATAAAATATTCTATTTGTAAAGTGATTTCTCCCATAGTCTCATATTCTAAGCGAAGCCTTTTACAGAAAAAGGATTCCTCTTTCGATAAAGCGATTAAAGTGCACCATTCATCTAAAATTTATTAGATATTAATCTGTTTTCCTCTTATTTCAAGAGAATTTCTTCTTATATCTATTCATTTTTCTCTTATACGAAAAGGAATATGGTGATTTGAATGTCGGCTTCTTTTGTTCAGTTATGATCTACCTCCAGATATGAACGAAAAAATAATCATACGCTCATGGGTCAGAATATTTGGAACGCTTTTTGAAAAAGGTATGTGTGTTAATATAACATATAACGAAGATAATTTATCTGTATTTGGTCAAATACAGTTTAGAATCTATTGCAACAAGTTGAATAATATATTCTTTTCTTTTAACTATGTTTCATACAATTAGTTATGATGAACATCTTTGTAGCTGAAGTCCATAAGAGAACTGATTGAAAATTTATTTGTCATGATGATCTTATTTCATTCGTGCCTACTTATTGTAGAAAGGGAGCACGAAGTACACCTATATATATATTACTTTTCGCTATACATTATAATAATTTTTTCAAATTAACTAGTGTAACCAATAAGAATAAAATATAGTAAAAATAAATAATAATTCTCTTGAAAAAGGATTAAATATGTCTATGTATAAGAGGAAATTTATATTAAAATCAATCAGATTTGCATTATACGTATAACATAATTCCTCTAACTTTACGAATAATGTGTTTATAATATTTTCCTCTTAATTTTAGAGGAATCCTCTTGAGGCCACATATAAGAGTAAAATTTTTTAAAATTTAGATGATTCCGCTTGTTCTGAAATTATTTTTTTTTTTTATCAAACTGGAGTCTGCCAGGTGTTGAAGAATTACGAATGCCGACCAAAATTTCTCGCACAAGTATGCCCTTAATTTCGACAAGTCCATTGAACGTCAATGAAAATCGAAGACCTGGGGTAGACAAGAACTCAAATAGACTTTCGTGATTATCGTGACTTGAGACAATTGATAATGGAAAACTTATCATCTTTAATATTATTTTGTACACTTGTGTAAAAACGAACGCACTGCGTTAAGTTAATAATCGTAAAATCATAAAAGTCGTAAAAATAGTAAAAAAATAATCGTTACATTCTCATGACACGGAGATGAATTTATCAAAAGTTTGACCCGAGAGATTAAAGCTACATGACATTTCATTTCGAATAAAATTTGGTTACTTTTTTCTTATTTATTCCGTGTTCCTATTTCGGTATTCTGTGCGATCAATATGAGTGTCATACGAGCTACTCATAAAGGATGCAATCTTTATCGACTAACAGAATTGCCGCCAAATTTGCGCACATCTGTCTACCGGGATCGCGTAGATTTATTGTACTTTTATATAACAGATAAGGGTGTAACAAAACTATTCATTACGTTTCTGAATCTTCGCCGGATGCCTCACATGCCTCACTTCGGCTTCCATCATAATCGATTACACCGCGCAATCTCACCAGTAGGAGTTCTCAATCGTGACAGTTTGATGAGAACATTTTGCCTCACCGTATCTAAACTATTTTACAACCAACAACTTCACCTCTTCTCGCCGGTACTTGCATATTATCATTACGCGGTTAAACGCGTGCAGGAAATAATAATCTTGACTTGAGAGCGAGACGTCACGTCGTGCAGCGAAACGAGTTTGTACTTTCAGGAAACGAGACGGAGGAGCCGAGAGAAGAGAGAGAGAGAGTGAGAGAGAGAGAAAGAGAGCAGGGTTAGAGGGAGGAAGGGGCTAAGTAAGAAATAATTTATATACAGCCCTTTTCGTAGTGTTCAACGCTCGCGCGCGTTTACACGTGTACGGGAAACGAAAGTTAATTAATTAGACGGAGTGCTTTCGCCAGTTGCAAACTGGCTGCAGTTCACTGTATTTTGGCATAGCATTCACGTTTCACCGTTTAGTCTCGCGAACGTCACTCGTACAACGCAGTCTCTTTTGCCGTTGAAACCTCGTCTCGTCTTCGTACTTCCATCTTCCTGCCGTCGTTGACGTCGTCGTCGCTGTAGTCGTAGTTTCACGAATTCACGAACGCGTATCTCGTGAGCGAATAATGAGAGGACAAAACAGCCTGCCGTCGCGACGACGCGAATGATTACCGCCGGGTCCTTTTATTTGCTTATTTTTCGGTCTCTTTTCTCCGCCCTCTCTTTCATGTAATCCTGATAAATATGAGGAAGTATGAAAGCTCACCGGCGCGTCCCGGGCGCTGTAGCTGTAGCTCGTCGTTAGCCGGAATACACGCGCCGCTTTTGCCGTCACTCCTTCCGGCCGTCCAAATCCCGTGAATTTGAAAAATTCGATTCTCGACGGTGGTTTGCGTAAACACCGAGAGCCGCAGATTTTTCTGCCGGCCACCGCGTAATTGCGTTCGCGCCGCCTGTCGGTTCGCGTAAATTGTTTAAGCGCTACACTAAAGAAACACGAAGGAAGTGGAATTGTTTATTCGAACGTTAGCGCGAACGACGATGAAGAGAACATTGAGACAATAACGCGCGCTTAGACGAAGCGAATTTCACAGACGAGCAATTAGCGGAGGAGGTCGTGAATTAATGGCGAGATTTAATCTTACAGAGCACGAGCGTCGCTTTTGTACGGAGGTATTCTTTGATATGTTATTCCTAAAAGGAATGCGAGACAGCTTTCCGTTCGAAGCGCATGGCTGCGCGACTCTGAGATTCCGAGAGCGCGTTTAACGGAAATGAAATCTGCGGGCACAGAGGTACTTGTTGCTGCAACAAAGAAAGAAAGGGAGAAAGATACAACTGATGCAACATAATTAATATGAAATTAGATTTCGAATTTTGCCAATTTTCGTACGCACGTAGAAACGTATTCTCGCGATGCGACGTGTCCTTTTTCCGAACTAATCTCGATTTAAAAGTACGCAAATGAATTTTCTTGCGCGAATGAGAGGGAGAGGGAGGGACAGAGAGGACGTCGCATCTCCCACCTTCCCAATGAATTACGTCAAACGTTCCTATCGAGCGGCCGATTTACAGTTGGATGCACCAGCAGCAGCACTCAATTACAATTGGAAAAAGAAAGACCGATCAGTGGAGCTGTAACCTGCTTGCAAACGGGGCGAGACACTCGGTGGGGATGAAAGAGTAACATTACGCGTTGAACGAAATATATCGTTTTACCGGATTGAACTGCGTCGTCGGAGGAATATTACCCGACGTGTACGTTCGAGCGATCTTTCATACGGACGAAATTGCGAAGTATCAGTATTTAAGCAGTAGCGCAGTATGGAAATATATCCAACGTTCGTTTTTCACGAGAATAAAGCTAGACGCGCGATAATCGTGCGTGAATGAAAGGCCAAAGTCGCGGAAAAAATCGCGAGCGCGCGATTTTCCGACCATTCGCGTCGCGTTGCGAAATACCGCGTCCGTGACGCAGTATTTTTCTCTTCTTTTATTTCCACTCGCTCCCTTTTCCCTTCTCGCCGGCTCTTATCGCGTCCCCGAATATCTACGGATTTTGATCAGCCTCGGCGAAATTGCCGTGGGGTGCCGCCCGCGTTGCGTAAATCGCGATTTCCACGGAAGGAAATGCGCCCGTGAACGGCGCTGAATGGTAATAGACCGACGAACTTCATTTCCAGAAATCCCATATATTTCGTATCTGAGTGGCCGTTGTCGCCCATTCGCTTCCCCTTTTTTTGCCCGGTTCGCGCATGCCCATTCGTCCACGTTTAAAATTCCATCCTTTCCAGGTCTTTGAGCTAAATCCTTTATCGAGTTCGTGCGCGTCGCGTTTCGGTCTTCGTACATCCGATCCGTATCCGCGCAGCCCGCTGAAGCTCGCAGCCGTTGAAATTGTTTGAGAATTTCCCGCAAATTCGAAAGTCACGCGTAACAACGTAACAACATTGAAATTTCGCGCGACGCTCGATCGTGAGGGAAATACCGTCGCGACGAATCGAAGAGACCAAGAGAGAAAGAGGGAAAAGCATAGTTGTAGGGGAAAACAGATTAACAGAAGTTATACACGCAGACGGTAACTAACTATCGGTAATCCGATAACGAAATTTGTATCGCTCGACAAAAGTTCATTCCCTCTCCGTGTCGAATCTTCCGATCTCAATTAAACGATTTCCACTCGCGTACGCGGAATGCTAAGCGGAGGGGCGACTTGACGACTGTGCGCGGAATGCGGAGACAGAGCAAACGCTGAGAATTTTCAATTCCCCCCCCCCGGACAATTTTCTCAAAAACCGAGGCCTCCCGGCGAGCAGATTTAATTAGTCCGCGCGTTCCGCTGGATTTCAAAGGGAGTCGCTTACCCGCGACGCTCCGGCGTCCAGAGTCGCACAAAAGGGTTGAACGCGGTCTCACCCTCTTCACGCTGCGAGACATATTCCTCGTTAGGTATCAGCGCGAGAATAACGACGCGTAGAGCTGAAAGCGAGTGTCGCTCCCTCCCGTCGACGGTGCCATCGTCTCCCTTTTCTCGCTTCGCGCTCGTAAGCCCGTCTCCTCCCCATTTCTCGCTCGCAGTCGCAAGTCGCGCAAAGTCGACACGGCCCTCGCCACGATAACAACGAGGATTTTTCTCGTGCTTTCTTTTGCAGACGCTGCCGCACGGGGATGGAATGAACGCGAGGACGGGATAAGCCGCATGGGAAGCGCGTGCTCGTGGAATGTATCACTCGCGTCGCGAGAGGACCTTCTCCTCCTCCTCCTCCTTCTCACCCTCCGCCTCCTAGGAAAGCCGCTGTGCTCACGGCCAGTTCGATCGAAATAATGCGATCGAAGCGCATCAGGAGGCAGGCTCTCTTCAGGTTGCTCCGATACAGACAGTGCGCCAAGTGCCGGAAGATAACTTAGCGCAACGGGGAGTGCTCGGGCCGATAAGTCGGCGAAGGACGACCGACGGGAGAAACAGAGACAGAGAGACGGAGAGACAGAGAGACAGAGAGAGAGAGAGAGAGAGAGAGAGAGAGAGAGAGAGAGAGAGAGAGAAAGAGAGAGAGAGAGAGAAAGAACGACGAAAGTAGAGCACGAGAGGTGCGCGCGAGCAGCACGAGAGACTGATCGCGATCGAGCGCGAATCTCACCCCCACTGGCTGTGATTTTTATTCCTAGACACCGATTCTAGAGGCTCCCTCGATTCGCGTGCGAATCGTTAAGACTGATCACGTTTAGACTTTCTCACCGACGTCGCGCAGCATCGCGCCGAGCAGCCAGTGCGCTCAGGCCAACGTAATCGAACCGAAGGATCGCGATCGTCCTTCGCGTCCCCGATACTTCGTTTCTCCTTCTGCTCGTCTTCGCTCGTCTTCGACGACGTCAGCTGTACGCACACGCATCCAGAGACCACCGCATCGTCGACGATCCATCAGAGCTTCCCGTCGCAACAACGCCGACACCCCGTTATCGTCTCCCGTCTCGCATGCCCTTATTAGCGTGGCCGTAGGGCGCAAAGGTCGCAAAGGTCGCGCGACCGCGAGGATACCTCCCCTTGCTCGTGGGGAATCGACTCGGCGGGATGAGCACACGCCAGACACGGAAGCGCATCGTGTTCTAACGAGCGCAAGGACGACGGAACACGAGCCTCGTTAAACCGGAGGAACAACACACTCGCCGCGGCCGGTCGCGATTAGCTCGCCGAGGTGGAGCGCGCAGGTGCCGGTAAGGTCACGCGACTCGAAGTCTCCTCGACACCGATTCTTGATTGCTCGGCAGCGGAATTGTTCTATCCCTATCTCCCTCTGTCTCTCTCTCTCTCTCTCTCTCTCTTTCTCTTCCCCCCCCTCCTCTCTCTCTCTCTCAATCTCTATCTCGTGATCGCACTAGCGCAATAGAGCATCCCAGGATCTCGCGAGGGTGTTCGCGTTCGTGTCGCCGAGGTCGCTGAAAACTTGCTTCGTGCCAGACGAGGGAGACGTTATTTGGAGGCTTGCCGAGCTCCGACGAGAAGAATCGTGACACTGAAGAAGCGGGCTCGAGTGGCACTCGGATCGTCCCGATAGTTGGAGCGAGCCGAGCTGGTCCGCCCGGCGAAAAATTGTTTCGCCGCATCGGCAGAAAGAGGATCGGCCGGCTCGTTATAAGGCCATCCGGCGTCTTCGCGAGGGTACTCGCGGAACTTCGAGCTCCGTAATATCCGGCCTGCGGGGGGATAATAATAATAATAATTGAGGAAGAGTCACAATTAGAGAGCATTTTAAACGTTTGAATCGGAGAGGAGTGGAGAGAGGATCGACCGGCGGAAAAGTCGAAGAAGAGGCAATTAAGAAGCGGAGGAGCCGCCGAGGTGGCGGCGGCGGCGGCGGCGGCGGGCTGATTGGTCGAAATATGAAAAGGCGGAATTCGAGCGGATGAGTCAAGCCGGCTCGGCGCGTCGGGGAGATATATAAAAGGAAAGGCGAATTAGGTCGAAACCGGGATTTTCCGTCCGGGTGTTCTTGCGGAAATATACTTGCGGAAATATATATTCTACTCCGAGAGGAAACACGGCGAATTTTCGGCGACAACCGGCGCCGCAGTCGCGCCGGTAATTAGCGCGATTATATGGAAATCCAGTTGCAGCACCCGTGCATCGAGGGAGCATCCTCTCTTGCTGAAGGGGTTGAAAAGGTTGAAAGGGTTGAATTCGGCGTGACAGGGTAGACAGACGTCGGAGGTGTTCCGTCGACTCGACACCGAGTGTGTGCGAGGCGAGGGTGAGAATCTCCACGATAGAGGAATTAAGGCGCTCCGGAAATAATCGTATCGGGGAAACTCGCTCCGATCGTTTCCGCGATACGAAAGGGCCGATAAAAACGGGGAAAATTCTCGGCAATATTAGTGTCGCGCTTCGACGGTCTGACCGGCCGGATTTCCGGCACGCGGAAGAACGAACGGCCGTGACGACTTGGGATCGACTCATCGGGGATTCATTCGGCGCGTCGCGGAAGCCGAGGAATAAATCGCGACTCCGGTTGAAGGTGGATTGTTGGAAATTCATTTGGCATATCAGATTAGCGCGCGCAGCAGAAGGAGAGATCTCGGCGGGAGCACCGAGGGAGTAGTGAGGTCGCGGGGAATAATTGAAAATTCATGTAGCGAGCTCGTGTAAGTGGAAGTGCGGAGGAAAAGTAATCGGTTCGTCGGATATTAATCGACCGCTCGTCGAGGAAGGAAGGACAAAAAGAAGTAGGAAGGAGTGGAAATCGCGAGAAAAGGGAGAATTCGCAATTTCGGGAGACTCGGTCAGGCGAACGAGAGATTCGCGAGAACGTGAGTTGCGGGAAACGGCGGGACGGCGGGAGAACGTCTCGTTCAATCCGCAAGGAAAGGAGCGCAAGGAGAGAAGGAAGTACCGGAACTAAACGATTCCGACATCGTCGGTCATCGGGCTGGAGGAGATCAAATTTTGCGCACGCAGTTTCGCGCGGGAATAAACGAGCCAAGACACGAGCCCGGGAGATATCGAGACTCCTCGGCGGCAAATAAAACGCCCGCGCACGTACCTGCGTGCGAGGGAAAGAGCCGGCGAGCGGAATAAGGGAGGAGTGAGAGAAAGAGAAGGAGGTCGGTCGTTTCCATCGAGTGGCTCCGGAATTCCCGGTATTTTCGGTATATCGAAACTAGCCCTCCTACGGCGCGACGCAGCGCGGCTGTATTTTCGACGTGGCAACAATCGTACGATAAAGATCGCGGCCAACTGCGCCGAAAACTCAATTCCCGCCGTTCTAGGTGGGACGTGATCGTACTTGGAGGAAGTCGCCGAAAACGAAGACGGCCCGGCCATCGGCGCCGCCGCGACTGCTCCTCTCGCCCGGTCATACGAGGGTCAGGAGAGGCCACGTGAGAGGGTGAGAGAAGGTGCAGAGGAAGCGATTGCAATTTCCAGCCGGCCACGTAACAGTAAATTCATTGCGCCGGTAGCGTAATCCTGAGGGACGAGCGCGCGCGCGCGCGCGTAGGGCGTCCTGAATCGAGATTTCGAGACTTAAGACGGATACAAGCGCGAGTCCGAGCTCCGAGCCGCTCCGTTTGTTAAGGACAGCACGTATACACGCGGACTTGGTCGTTTCTCCAATCGCCGATACGATCCCGACGAGAACGAACGGCCGAGCGGGAACAAATGGAGGGACCATCCATTCGTGCCGAGGACCGCCGCATCTTCGTCCCGTTCGTATCCTTCCGCTGCGCCGCTCGACGCTGGGAAACGACGGAGTAAACTTCACCGCGAAGGGTGGTCAAGAGGACGAGAAACAGGGCGGGGGAGGAGGGTCCATTGACGAGGAGGACTTTCTCGCGGAGTAAAAGTTGGCTGGGTTTCACCGAAACGAGAATAACTTTGATCCTTTCTCTCTTGCAACAGCGTGGTGGACTTCCTCGCGTGGCTATCAATTATCGAACGACGAAACGCGAACTCGATTCGCACATCTTTTTAAATATTCGCGGTCGAGAAACCGCTTGCACGTGTTTATCGTATAACGGAGGTACTTTCGACGCTCAAAAAAAGGCGACAGACGGGGAATAAGGGATTTTCATCGGACGAAGGATCGTGTGAGGTATTCGACAGTGCGTGGGAGGCGGGCTCGTCTCGTGAAGCAGCCGAGTGAGCGACAGGGATCGCTCCGATATCGTTCGTACGTCACGAGAGGGTTGGAAAATTCAGACGGAGAAGCGGCTTTCATTCGTCGCGGCGGTTGCGATTCGCAATACTGTAATCTGCCCCGTGCGAGTCCGACAGCGTGCGTGTGTGTATGTGTGTGTGTGCGTGCGTGCGTGCGTGTGTGTGTGTATGTGTGTGTGTATTTAAATGTGAAAATCTCGTTTCTTCCCCCTCTGGCCCGACGACGTTCCGATAAGAAGATCGCGCGTCCTTAAGTAGCTGCAACGAGCACGCGAAAGCCGGGGAATTTATTCGACGAGAAGCGGGAGATCGAGAGCGTTCGGGGAAACTATAGCAGCCCATCCCCCTCATTATTACTCGGAGAGATAAGCAAAGAACGACGAAATTCCGCGGAGAAGAGTACGAATCTCATCGATTCCAAAAGAGTTTCTCTCACAGAGAAATTTCGCACATCTCTCTCCCTCTCTCCTTCTCTCTCTCTCTCTCTCTCTCTCTCTCTCTCTCGAACGAACGAACGAGCGAACGAGCGAACGAGCGAACGAACGAGGGTGAGATCGTGAAGCATCGTCAAGGCTTCGCGAAATCGTCGTCGATCTGTATACCAAGAAGAGGTCGCCCACGATTTTCCGGTAGGAAGCACCAAATCGCTTTTTAAACGAACGGAGAATCGAGAGAGAAGGCACTCTCTCTCTCTCTCTCTCTCTCTCTCTCTCTCACGGGTCTTCTTCGCTGCTCCTCAGTACGGCCAGCGGGAGAAAGAAAGAGACAGCGAGGAAAAGGAAAAATAAAATCCAACTTCGGAAGCGTACATCGTCCGATGACTGCTCCTAATAAAGGCGACGCCGCTTTCAATTTCGGGCAAAATAACGTCGGTCTTCCGGGCGAAAGGAGCGGCGGCGGGAGAGTTCTTCCGGATTCGATTTCGTAACGGGAGCAGCATCACCACGCGAGTGGACGAGGAGCCGAAGGGGTGACGGCGGCGACGACAGCATCAGCGGCGGTGGTGGCGATAGTGGTGGTGGTGGTGGTGGTGGTGGTGGTGGTGGTGGTGCTGGTTGTAACGGCAGCGCTGGTGGTTATAGCGGCGACGGTGGTGGTGATGGTGGCGGTGGTGGCAGCGGCGGTGGAGAGGTGGTAGTAGTGGGTCGGCCGGTACGCGATCGTCGTGGGTGGTGTGTGCGGGGGCGTGAATAGTGCAGCCGAGGCAATACAGAGCGGGGTCGAGCGTGCGGGGGTGAGTTAGGGAGCCGCGGATATCGATATATATTCGGCGGCGGGTGGAGAAACGAGGAGGTGAAACGAGAGACAGGGAAAGGGCGATTCGGCAGGGCACGCGCTACGCCGAATGCTACGTTTACATCGCAGGATACGTACGCCCGCGCTTCCTTCTTGGAAAAACGCTTGATGAAACTGCGCCGGTGGCCGAGCGGCGGCGCGAGCGGCACCACGAGGATTACGTTGGCGTGCGCGATTAAGGCTGACTTCATTCACGCAGCTTCCAGCGACGGCCGAATCTCTCCTGGATCCTCCGACTTCACGTGCGGAACGGTATCGAGGTATCGCGCGAGGTATAGCGTCGCGCTCTTCATCACCTTCGCGGTCCTCGCAGTGCTGCAGCGGGAGGAGAAAGCAAAATTGCCGGTACGAGAGGGAGGGGGAGGATTTGTTCGGCGAGAAGATCGAGGTAGCTTCGCTTCGGAGTTGCGAGAGCATCGACGCGGCAAGTGACTTGTCGTAGTCGAGTACTCGAATCGTCCTGGAAATTCGGCACATGCGGCAAGCGGACGCGGAGTAGAGAGGGAGAGAGAGAGAGAGAGAGAGAGAGAGAGAGAGGCTGTTTGCGGACAACATTAGACGACAGAAACTCTGAGACCCGAGCTTCCCTGAACTCGATACTCCCACAGCCTCGCGTCTAAAACAGCGTCGATTAAAGGCCGCCGAGTAACGTTAGACGATATCCAAGGTGCAAAGCGAACGACAGTGTTGTACTTTGTGAAACGGAGTGCTATCGATTATCCGGAACAACGTTCCGCGCGCTGTTCGCGACCGCGAAATTAAAGCGTCGGATTGACTAATGCACAGAGCGCCGTATCGGCTGCTATCGACACCGAGTGCTCGTACTCGACGGTCGCGCATTAACGAGCTCGGCCGACCGTGATCGCGGAAATATCAGCGATAATTCACGGTGATTGGACTTTAATTAGCGACCGCTAAAACCCGTGGCAAAAGTCGCAAATAGCCGGCGAGAAGAATAAACGAGATTTTCGAGAAATAAACCGGCGGAGTCGAGTGCGAGTAGGCAAGGCGAACGTGTCGAGTGAGCGAGATCGCGGCTGCGTGTGTCTCGTCTCGTGAACTCGAGAGCGCATTCTTTCCCCTCTTCTTCCGTTGTTTTTCTTCTTCAGACCACCGGTGTTTACCTCAAGGACGTTTCCGACACAACAACAATCTGCTGAGATCGCGCGCGCGATCCCAGGAAAAAAAAGACTTTGCAATCAAACTGGGAGCAGGCGGACAGCTAACATTAAGAATATAGATTAGACAAATTTTTAATCAATCATTCGTCGGTTAGCCGTGAGGAAGCCGAGCACTCCATGACGCGTCGCCATCGCGTCCCTCCGAGGACGAGAGCTTTATCGGCGGGGCAGCGGTAGATTAAATCACGAAGGAAAGTCCCGCTCCTCGGGAACGAGAACTCCAACAAACCACGAGCTTCTCCGAGTCCCAACCCCACGACTCGTCCTTCGGCCGAGCCGAAGGTCCTCGCGCGCCATTGTACTCGCCGTACGGTATTTCTCGCGGGAGAACCAGTGTCGATAAGTGACGACGAGTGTGTGCCATCAGACTTGTCGACGCGAAACCGCATGGAAGAACTTGGAGCCGCGCGTGATGGCGGTTCGAGATGTCCCGCGCGCTCCTTCGAGTTCCTCGCCGTCGGCCTCGTCGTCCTCGACATCGTACACGACATTCTCCGGAATTCCTCGACAGGATAGCATGGGCGCACCCGAGGACCGCGACAGTTAAATATGCGAGAACTGAACGCCACCGCATGCGCTGCTTTGTACGACGGCGTCGAGTGGTCAAGCGTGTGGAACCTGGTTACTCTAGTCGTCCTGGTGTTCGTGGCTGTCATGGTGATAGTCGGTAACGTCTTGGTCATACTGGCCGTCTGCTACACCAGCAAGCTGAGGAACGTGACGAATATGTTCATCGTCAGCCTGGCCGTGGCCGACCTCATGGTCGGCACCGCCGTCCTGCCATTCAGCGCTGCCTGGGAGGTTTTCAAGGTGAGCGTGTCCTTAATCGCGAATGTCTTTCACCCACTGTAACTTGTCCGCGATATTCTGCGGTGGCTGAAAGGTCGCACGAACTCTTCTCGCCCCGATGAGCTTTTAGGAACGCATCCGGTGTCCAATAACGGTGGGCAAATTTATCCTCGGGAAATTACTAAAAAACAAGTTCTCTCTCTTCTGTTGTACACGGATGCGTGTTGTGAGACTCGTCGAAAAAAGGGGGAGAAAGGTTACTTCGGGAGAAAGACTCTTCGCTGTTGACTGCACCGCTGTATCATGAACGACTGAATGGCAAATAAATATTGAGTCAAAAGGGAAAAACACGGCCTTAAAGCGAGAACGTTCGGTCGTCTTTTTTTTTGTCCTTGTTTTTGTCCTTTCTGAACATAAAAATTATTGTTGTTGCAGCGCGAGTGCGCCTCGATACATGTTCATCAGAACGAATAAACCTACTCGGGCATAATTTTACTAATTTCGATTAAAAAGAAAAAGATAGTCGCCTTTTCATCCACACACACTTGTGGTCACACGTGCACTGCGTTTTCGTTAAAAACGCGTTAGGAATTCGACACGAAGGATCAACGAGCACTGTCAGTCGGAATCGGAATCGGAAAAAAGCAGTGAGAGCAGAGGGATAGAAAAGCGGAAAAAATTCGATTGAAACTATAAACCGTACGCGTACCGGATATAACCGCCTAACGAGAGAAAAAAGAGAGAGAGAGAGAGAGAGAGAGAGAGAGAGAGAGAGCAGCAGCAGCAGCGCGTCAATGACACCCCGCATTTTGGAACGTCACATCAATGAATCTTGAATCGATTTGATCGTACAGTCGACAGCATGTAAAAGCCGAGCTTCGTTCGGACGACGTTGCTAATAACGTGTGTTTGTAGCAGCGTTATCGACAATTCCAGAATAAACAATAGAGAATTGCTGAAAACGATAGTTTTCTGAGATATTAAAACCGGTTCACACACATTCAAATCACATTCGCTATTAACTTGTTTACCTTGGAGGAAGAAATGTTCATGACATTTATTTTCAATATTTTGCGGGAAATAAGTGTCATTGACAAAAATTATTAATTTCGGCTGTATGTTGATAACCTTGTCACCAACACTGGGGAAAACATTTTTATATTCGATCACTTGGCGTTCTCGTTGAGGGAACGTTGAGAGTAAATGTTATTGGCAGAAGACCAAGTTTTTTTACGATTCCTGTGTTTACTGTTAACATTCACGTTCTCCACGCACTGTTAAAAGCGCATTTAGAGACGCGCATTCAGCGAAATGTTTTCTGAAGAACATGCTTCGCTAAAAGGATTTCTTAACGTTTACTAGCTTCTTGCTATTTACTTTGTCAGCGCTGTGTTTTCGGTATAAACCAGTCCTAATGACAATAGACATTTTTCACGGGACGTTAAAGCACAATGTGGCATCGATCGCGACGGCAGTGTAGCACGCCGACGAGCTGGTCTGAAATGTCACGCGCTCGCTAAAATTTGCGCGGTTCACCGCGGAATAAAGGGAAGAGGCGCATCCTCTCGTTCGAATATTCAGGTTGAAATATCCTGTCGCAACATCCGGCCCGTCCTGACGACATACAGGTTGCGTGAAAAGTTCGCGGAGCGAAACTGAAATAAAGAATACCTAATTCTAAAAATGATTTTATTCTTCAATATAGTCTCCATTGACTTCAATACACTTGGCCCAGTGGCTCTCCAATAATTTTATTCCATCGCGGAAGTGTGTTTCTGGAAGGTCTGCGAAATATGCCTCTGCGGCTGCTATAGCTTCTTCATTCGACAAAAAATGCTTTCCACGGAGGAATTGTTTCAGGTTTCGGAACAGATAGAAGTCGCTAAGGTGCCAAATCTGGCGAATACGGCGGATGATCAAGCAATTTGTACTTCAATTCATTGAATTTAGACATTGACAAAACACTTGTGTGAACAGGTGCGTTGTCTTGGTGAAAAATGATTTGTTTGTGCTGCAAACCAGGTCTTTTCTCACGAATTTTTACGTCCAATTGATCCAAAAGGTTACAATAATATTCAGAGTTAATTGTTTTACCTTTTTCCAGATAGTCAATTAACAAAATCCCTTTAGCATCCCAAAAAACTGATGCCAAAACCTTTTTTGCCGATCTTTTATGCTTTGTTTGCTTTGCAGCTGAACATCCAGCTTCAATTCACTGTAAACGTTCCTGTTTCAATTTAGGATCATGGTGATAGATCCAAGTCTCATCCATAGTCATAAAACGACGCACAAAATCGGTTTTATTCTTCTTAAAACGATCCAAATGACGCTGAGAAATTTGCTTTCGAGCGAGTTTTTGTTGAATTGTTCACGTATGCGGCACCACTTTTCCAAACACTTTTTTCATTTGTAATTCTTTATGCAAAATATGCCGTACCCGTTCATCCGAAATGCCTGTGGTATGAGCAATTTCACGCGTAGTCACACTCGGATCTTCAGAAACAATAACATGTATTTGCTCAATGATTTCTGGTGTTGATGCGCTTTTTGGACGTCCACTGCGTGGATCATTTTCAATGCTTGTACGACCACGTTGAAACTCAAGTGCCCATTTACAAACCATTGTTTTTGAAGGAGCAGATTCCCCTAACACACATTTACCATCTCGGAATGAATTTCCATTGCCTTAAGCCTTTTTTAACAAAGAACTCAATCACTGCACGCTATTTCAAATTTTCCATTGCAAACCAATATACTGACACGTCAATTTCAATTGGCTTGTAAACACAGAAAGAATTGACAGATGGAAATGAAACCTAACCTAGGTTCATGTGAAGAGTGATTCTACATAATCTACTACAATTTATAATTCTACCGTTTACTTATAGATGCCGCTCCGCGAACTTTTCACGCAACCTGTATAAATGCATGTTATCATCGACGTCGAGACGAGTAACATCCGACGGACGAAAGAATGTCCAAGAATGCGAGCTTTCGAGCTTATAAGATCGGCGTTAATCCCGACTCGACGAGCGCGATTCGCCGGCAGTAATTCCCGGCAGCCGCGAATCTCATTCCGCGGTCTCCCGAGTGCGGCGTCCCGATTGCGGGAAATCCCGCTGAAATCGTCATAACGATGATCCCTATCTAGCGGTATCCTCCGATCCTATAAATCCCCGTCACGACGCACCTTTCGTCCAGCCGGCAGGACCTCTGTAGCACGTGCGTGCCGCGCAAGGCGAGACGCCGATTCGCCCTGAAAAATGCCTGGTCCGCCGATTCTCCGACGAGTGGGAGAATCCTGCAACGTATTCTCCCTCGTCCGGAGCAAATCCGACGGGATGTATTATTTCCGATCGGCGATATCTCCCTTCGCAGGAGGAAATATCGCGTCGTCGATCGTCGGCAAATATCTCCATCGTGCAAGACGCCGCATGGCACGGCATGCGGTCGTCCCGCTGCGACAGCTCTCCGCTAGCCTCTTTTCGAGGAACTCGTTGCATTATATTCCTCCCCCCACGACGTCGATACGATTAAGAAGAAGTCGTGGGACGAGCCGGCGAAACGACACTTTAGCCCGAAGTCGCAACGAGCCGTGTCGGTTTAAGTGGGATTCACGGAGGACGCAACAGTTTGTTGGCTTTTCCCTTCGGTCCTTCCAGCATGGAGCTCGGAATCCCACGTGTCGGTGTTACCCAGCGTGTATACGTGAGTGTGTGTATGTGCGTTCGCCGAACAGGCGGAAACCCGGGTCGGTGGGTGGCGGATGGCACGGTGAAAGCGGCGAGCTTCTCTTAGCCCGACTCGAAACGAGGTGCTCCATTTAGCCTGGAGTTTACACGATATAGCGCAAGTTAGTTCTTCCTCCCTTCGTTCATCTCGGCGCACTTATCGCGATACACTTCTTCCGCGAGGAAAAAGAGCTCTTGCCTCCTGCATGCCTCGTCCTTCCGACGCACGGAGGGATCTCTCGAGTACGGTGTTCTCTCGCGCGCGCCCGGCAAGGACCGAGCGAGCTCTGTAAGCGGGCGCAGGATATTCTACGGGACAGACAGAGGGAGGGGCGGGGGGGTGAAGCAATAACGCGCGATCTGCGGCCGCGCAAAGATTGACATTTTCCTCTCACAAAAGCCAGACGAGATTCTGCCGTCCTTATTGAGCGCGCGAGACTGTTCGATTCTCGCGTCTAGAGGGCGAGCGTCCTCCGAGGAGAAACTTTCCGGAAGCCCTTAGTTCCGACGAGTCGCGACGAGGAGACTTCGGCGGAGGGATGAAGAATCGACGGACGGACGGACGGTGATCGACGCGTCGTTAGACCGCTCGTCGTCGTTGCGGCAAATAATGGCAGTTAATTGCTGGATTCCAGTGCGTGCGCGCGCGCGCGCGCGCTGGAGCCGCGCAGCCGAGGCTAATTTTGAACAGGTGGTTGCCGCAGCGCGGAGAAGCGAGCAGCGCGTTGTATCGGCCGTCATTATGCGAGAGCATTGTGCGTGCAGCTCGGGATTTCATTGTACGTGATTGCATTGTGAATCACCATCGACCTGAATGGGGGATTCGATCCGATTGACACGTGCTCGACCTGTCGTCTTGTCCGTTCGCTTTGCGCTTCGCGCGCGCGCGCGCGCGAATAGCAAGACAAGCGCGAGCCCGGTGAAGCGACGATACGCGTAATCGCTTGATCGCCACGACTTTTTGATCCTGAGAGCCTGAGCCGCGATAGCCATTTAGGCTCTCGTCTCGGTGGAGCCTGGATTTTATACTTCTCCTTAACGGGAGAACTCGATCGAACATCGTCTCGCACTTTAGCGTTAACCCTGACAACGGTAACACGCTCGTTTTGTACGCGCGTGAACAACCTCGCTCGTCTATCGGACGCGAGTATCACGAAGAAAAATCGATTTAACATTTATTAAATCTCTCGCCTCTGTCGCAATCTGTAATCGTTATTCTCTTTTTTGTCCTTCGCCTCTCGCGCGCTTCTCATGCATTGTTATGAGCGGTAGTTCCGAGCGCTTCTTCTTACACACGACTCTGCGCTCGAGCGATATCATATCTTTTTATAGGACGTATATATTTGTGTCACCGAAAGATTTATTCAAAGTTTATTCATTCACTTATTGTAAACCGTAATTGTCGTTCTCGTTTTTCTTTTGCTTCTAACACGTGGCTCTCACGAATAATTTTGAGTGGGGAAATAAACTACACTAGAACATATCCGGGAAGCGATTGTTATTGCTGTCAGGGTTAATTCCGACAAGTGAATTGCACAAATGAAAATCGCGCTGGAATTCAATCAGGACTCAAGGCTGAATTAGGAATACGATTTCGTACATGTGTGTATGTGTGTGTATGTGTGTTCGTGTGTTTTAAAGTTAATACGATAAACCACAAAAAGAGTCTGCCATTGACATTTAGTACATATTTCTCTTAAACGTTTCTCGCATTCTCTCTCTCTCTCTCTCCCTCTCTCTCTCTCTCTCTCTCTCTCTCTCTCTCTCACGCTCTTTCTCCCCTCTCAAAAGGTTTGGATATTCGGAGATTTCTGGTGCTCCGTGTGGCTGGCGGTCGACGTTTGGATGTGTACCGCGTCGATATTGAATTTATGCGCCATCAGCTTAGATAGATACTTGGCTGTGACCAGGCCGGTCAGTTATCCTCAGGCAAGTACCATTGAGTACCTACTCGCGAGAACGATTATCCCGGCGAGCTCGGCTTGCGTTGCACGATCGATCGTTTCGGCTGTCGGGCTCGGCGCATTCGTGCGCGACGAAACTACCTGTCGGCAGATCGTTCCGCGTAATGCGAGCGTACTCGCGAGCGGAGAGACACGAAGCCGAAGCGACATTGCGAGAGCGACGTTCGCAATCGCAATTTTATGGACGTTCCATTTTCCTCGTTTACTCTCCGACGCTTAATCTCAGAAATGATCTGCGCGGCTCGCTTTTCTCGCTCAGCGTATTAAAATAGTCAAATTTGAACCCAAAAATTACCAACGTGCTCAATTTGCTGAAATCGTGATGAATTGTACGAGAGAACGGCAGATGCGGCTTTGTCCTGCGGCGAAGCGGCAACCTGCGCGTCGGACAATGAAGTGAAAATCGCGGTAACACACAACATCGTCCTGCACCTGCATCGAGCCCAGCCGAGCCGACTCGCTGCAGCGAGTCGCAACGCTGATAAGCTGATAATATGTTTCTTTTATTATCGTATGTCCACGTGACCTTCCACGGAAACCGCTCATTAATCGCCTCTCTCTCTCTCTCTCTGTTTCCGTAAATCCAGCTTATGTCGACGAAGAGGGCCAGGCTGCTGGTGGCGGCCGTTTGGGTCTTGAGCTTCGTCATCTGCTTCCCGCCTCTGGTGGGCTGGAAAGACAAACGGGTACGTAACCGCGGCTTAATCCGCCGCCGTTGCGGCGTTGATTTTTCCTCATTCGCCTCCTCCTTCCGTCGCTACCGCCCGCCGCATCCCCGGTTCAATATCTCTCCGGGTCGTTTCTTTTTCCTCTTTTCGCGCGATTTCATCGCCTTCACACACACTCTCCCTTTCTCTCTCTCTCTCTCTCTCTCTCCCTCCCTGCCTCCCTCTTTCAATGTCCCGCACTGTCATGTCTGTCTGTGTCTATCTGTCCGTTTTCGCAGTCGCATCCCGCGTACAACGTGACGTTCCCGCTGTATGGCCCGTCCAACACCACCACTATACTCGTGCCGGTCAAGCCATGCCCGTGGATCTGTGAGTTGACCAACGACGCCGGCTACGTCGTCTACAGGTAAGCTCTTTGAGGACTTCTCAGCGTCTTATCTAACGAGTCACGCGTCGGATTATCGTGGAGACGGGAAAAGTGCACTCTTCCAAGCTGCCTCTCTCGCGCTTTCACGTCGGGGCAAAGTGGCCTCTCGGTTGCCACCATACTCTTTCGACAGGAACGACCGAGCGAGCGAGTGAGAGCGACGTGGAGAGACGCGGAAAATTCTCCTCCTCTCTCGTCCTCTCCGCGCTCTCTTCTCCTCGTTAACGAATTGTCGCGCTATCTCATCGAGCGGGTTTCGCGTCTCTCGCGGCGAGCCCGGCGTTTCCGGAGTTTCGGGATTTCATCCTCCGCGCTTCGTACATCGTCGAGATCCTCCATACCGTCGATTAATAAATTGTCACGACGAGTGACAGGGCGTGGAGAGAATTCGGAACCTGTCGACTCGGAGGATCGCCGCGTATCGTCGCGCGTCGATAAGCGCGTCTCGAAATTCCGCGGCGATCGGGCCGCGCCAGTAATAACTGTTTCTATTTCCACGTCGTTATCGTATTACGCGCGTGCGTCAATCAAGACGGTGCATATGCACGCATGCACGCATACAGTTCGTTGGCGGTCAATAAGTTAATAAATCGTTAACGCACTCGAGCATGTCCGGATGCGTTTCGAGTGCCCGTCCGCTCGCTCGCTCGCCGTCGCCGCCGCTCGGCCTCGTTTATTAAACCCGGTCGGCGAATTCGGTGAGCTGGGTAAAATCTCGAGAGAGAGAGAGAGAGAGACAGCGAGCAGAAAGTTCTCTCTCTGCTCGATACGGGGCGAGCGAGATCGCTGTCGTGAAACACGGGAAACCGCGACGACGCGACGACGCAAGACCACATCAAACATCGCGTCCTTTTCTCTGTCGCAGCGCCCTGGGCTCCTTCTACATACCAATGCTGGTGATGATGTTTTTTTATTGGCGGATCTACAACGCCGCGGTATCCACCACGAAGGCGATTAATCAGGGCTTTCGGACAACAAAGGCCTCGAAAATGCTCGGCACCAGGTAAACCCTCGACCGAACCGTCGGCGATTTTCCGTCCTTGTTCTTCCTTCTCTCCTTTGCTCCCGAAACTTCCGTCTCGCCGTCGCGTTGCGGAGAATTTCGATTTGCAGAACTCTCGACTCAGGAATTGAGCGGGAATTTTTTGAATTTTTTGAATTCTGGAGAATTTCTCTCTGTGCCTGCATATAATGAACCCCACGATCGAAGAAGACCTTTCCTTTCTTCTCCGCGCCAAGAACATGAGTCTCATGCAAGTCCCACCGCCGCGCCATCGGCGAGAATTCCATACAATTTCACGAGACGAAACCGAGTTATCGTCGCGCGTTATCGCTACCTCGTGGCTAACGCCGCGCGCGTGAAACGGTCGGCCGTTCTGTTTGTGAACCCGCGATTGAACTTTCCTTTCGCGCGAAGACGAGTCTCTCTTCATGCCGCGAGAGCTTTGTTATGCTCTCGCGCGAGACGAATATAATGGAGCGGCCACGTAAGAGCGCGACTCGTTCCTATTCTTAGGTGCAGGTTCGACGAACAAAGACTGACCTTAAGAATACACCGCGGCCGCGGTAGCCTCCAAAACGGAAGCAATAACGGTAGCAGCTCGAGAAGCCCGGACTCGAGCAGCCGCTGCTCCGTCAAACGGGAGAAGATCAAGATTTCGGTTTCCTACCCCAGCTCCGAGACGCTCAACACCAAGTGCAACACCCTCGAGAGAACGCCGTCGAAGTGCTCGCAAATCTCGGTGCATTACAGCAACGGCCAGACGCAGACGCAGCTTTGTCCGGTCTCGCGCAACACGCATCTTAAGGTGAGCTGTTAGATCTTGGAAGAGGTCTCGCAAGAGAGCTTCACCCTCTTCCCGAGAGATAATTAATCCTTTGAAGCTGGAGTATCTCCTCTCTCTTCTCTGCCTTTCTCTCTACCTCTCCCGCTGCCTTCTTCTCTCTCTCTCTCTCTCTCTCTCTCTCTCTCTCTCTCTCTCTCTCTCTCTCTCTCTCTCCCCCTCTTACTTGCGACTGGAAAAATAACGGAGACTATTTGAACGTGAAATGAAAGAATTGTAAACGCGTGTCTCGCCGTGCAGACTCTTGTCATTCATCCGCGGTGCTCAGAAATTCCCGAGCGCGCGGAAATCGCGCGAGAAATTGAAAATATATTCTAAGTAGCTTCAGTATTGAAATTACATACTCTCGAGCGCGAGGGGAGTGTATTTCTGATCCTTCCTTTTTTTTCCCTCGTTTCAAAGTGCCATCGCCGAGGGTGACGAATTTCCGCACAGCGTCGACGACACTTCGCGATCGGGGGCTTTTGGAGTGCGACGTGCGCATTGTTTATCGAACGATCCGACGACCGACGGACTGTTTTGCAAAACGGAGCGAATCAAGGGTTATCAGATTGTTTTTGTTCGGCAAAGCCGAGGCACTCGTTTGATCGGACGCTACCGGAGCGTATAAATGCGCCATTTCTCCCCTTTCCGCTGTTGTTTTTTCCCCCCTTTTTTTACGGCAGCTTCCGAGCTTTTATTTGCCGTTTAAATCGTCGATCGTGATTATTCCGCCGCATGGGAGGTCGAGCGCGTGGATTTACAGGCCAACGTAACGAAGCAGGGTATAGACACGCGCGTCTATTTCACCATTGACTTTTTATGCTCCCTATGATCGTTGGGATCGCGCGAATATACGCGACGGGAAGGCATATACTATGCATTCCCGTCGGAACTATTTCAGTCTCAACGGAGGATATCGCGTTTCGTTCATGAATCGCTATCTGGATGCCTTTCTCTCCTCTCTCTTCCCTCCCTCCTCGTGCGTGAGTCTTATAACATCTGTTCTGTGATTTATGAATATGTTTGTTTATAGTAAGCAAATAGTACACGGGAAAAGCAACTTCTCTGATGTAATTGAATGTTTGTTGCCTGGGGACGAAAACTCGATTGTGAGAAAGGAAAGATTTCCGTGGAGGGTTTCTAATCAGTCAATTGCTCTCAGTGATTTCAATCGAGTTTTGATATAAGCGTGTATATTTCTTTTCATAGTTATATATATAATATATATGTATGCACACAAAATGTCCAGGATCTTTCGAAAACGAAAAATTGTAAAGATTAATCAGATCAAACTGAAAAGAAAATTCAAGTACTATTTTGCAAAAATCGCAATAGTTATTAAGTTATTAATGATTGAAAGTCAGCGGCAGGTTCAAGATTCAGAGTTCAAAGTTCAATATATTCATATCTATCGCTAGAAACAATAACCGTCATATAATTGTAGATTAGATGATTCTGAAGAAAAAAGTCCTTTACCAGTTTGCAAATAAGTACACAAATGTTCAAGTTATCAATTAAAAGAGCTTCTAGATGTAATCATTTTCAATTATTGACAATTTAATAACTAGTGCAATTTTTGTAAAATAGTACTTAACTTTTCTTCTTCAGTTGACCTGATTAACTTTCATAATTTTTCGTTTCCAAAAGATCCCGGACACCCTATATATATATATATATATATATATATATATATATATATATATATTATACAGGGTGCTAAATTTCAAAAGTAACAGGTAAAAAATCTCGAAAACTATGAAGGATATTAAAAAAGCTAAAACACGTGTTCTATGATTTCGAAGGGGAAAGAGAGTGGCATTGTCAGTTTATTATTTGGAGGGCATTTTCAAGATCAGTTGAAGGCCAACTTAATTTTTTTAAACAGAAAGCCCAATTTTTTATTATATCTTCTTTTTTTATCAATTAATTTTAACAATTTTTGTCTGAAACATTTTTTTATTTGTTTAATATTTTTTGAAATATTTAAAGAAAACTTGGTAACTTTTTCAACATTTATCTCGCTAACTGTTTATTGAAAGAAAAAATAGTATTAGACTTTTTTACTTTATTTACTATCAAGAATATGTATATTACTATAATAGTGCCCTAACTTTTGTTAACTTACCGATCTGTGGAAATTTCAAAATTATTAAATTAAGAAAAGTTAGGGCACTATTATAGTAATATACATATTCTTGATAGTAAATAAAGTAAAAAAGTCTAATATTATTTTATCTTTTAACGAATAGTTAGCGAGATATCGTAAGTTAAATATTGAAAAAGTTACCAAGTTCTCCTGAAATATTTCAAAAAATATTAGGCAAAAAAAAATGTTTCAGACAAAAGTTGTTAAAATTAATTGGTAGAAAAAGAAGATAATATAAAATTGAGCTTTCTATTTTAAAAAATTAAGTTGACCTTCAACTGGTCTTGAAAATGCCCTCCAAATAAAAAACTAATAATGCCATTCTCTTTCCCCTTCGAAATCATGGAACACGTGTTTTAGCTTTTTTCAATATCTTTCATAGTTTTCAAGATTTTTCACCTGTTACGTTTGAAATTTAGCATCCTGTATATATATTACATATATATATTACCCTGTATATATATTACATATATATATTACCCTGTATATATATTACATATACTATATATATATATATATATATATATACAGTGGCGTGCAAAGGTTTCGAGCCATAGTGTCTTTTTAAGATACATGACAATATATTGATTTGCTTTAAAAATTAATTATATAAAATAGTTGACATAACATTCTTACAAATAATAGTACAGTTACAAAATTTTGAAATTACATAGTTTCTAATTATTTAGTTATATAATGTTTACATGTGTTCAAAAGTATTGAGCCATATTCTTGTTATGACTTTATGAGCCCGGTTTGTTTACGTTTCTTATGAAACTCCTTCGTAAATATTTGCTTTAACTGAGTTTCAGTCTATTGTTTACCGCAATTTCGAAACATACAAGCCTTCAGTTACGCGAAGCCGTGATTAATCTTTCTCAACAAGGAAAGGTTTCTCGCGAAATTGCTAATTGCTTATTAATTGATAAAAGTATTGTAAATAGGATTACTGCTAAATATAAGTTGACGAACTCTCTAGCTGATAAACCACGAAACGGTAGACCTCCAGGCAAAACTACAATGCACGTCGATAAAATGATTAAAAGAAAGTCGATAGCAGATGTTAGGAAAACTGCCATGGATATTTCTCGGAAACTACGAGAAGAAAATCTTGCTGATATTAGTCGAAGTACAATATCTCGACGTCTAAAGGAAGTAGGACTCTTAGGACGTGCTGATGTAAAAACACCATTAATTAGTGCAAAAAATAAGAAAGCTCGATTAGATTTTGCAAGGAAATTTGAACATTGGACTGAGGTTGATTGGCGAAAAGTACTTTTCTCTGACGAGTCAAAATTTCAGTTATTCGGAAGTGACAGTAGAAAGTATATACGACGTCCAACAGACACAAGATATAACTCAAGATACCAAATTCCTACCGTAAAACATGGTGGAGGTAACGTGATGGTTTGGGGATCATTTTCTTATAATGGAGTTGGTGCACTGGTTGAGATCACGCGTACTGTGGACGCTATAATATATCGAGATATATTGACACAGCATATGCTACCATATGCAACTCGAAACATGCCACGTGGTTGGATTTTCCAACAAGATAACGATCCCAAACATTCATCAAAACTCACAAAAGAAGTTTTTATCGCGAGAAAAATGCGAGTTCTTGACTGGTCCTCGCAATCGTCGGACTTGAATCCTATTGAGCATTTGTGGCAAGAACTCAAACTACATACAGGAAATAAGAAACACTCCGATAAAGCTGAATTGTGGCAAGATTTGCAAACTCAATGGCAAAATTTACCTCAAGATCGCATTTCTAATTTAATAGCATCAATGCCTCGCCGTTGTGCTGCAGTGATTGCTTCTAAAGGCATGGCAACAAAGTATTAAGTTTAAAAAAACGTTGACAATATTTTCTGTTGTCATTTTATTATTTTTCAATAATATATTTTTCTTATGCATAAGAAAACTTTTTGGCGCAGTACTTTTGCACTGTTCGTAATAAGATATTGTGTAAAAATAAAGTATTTAGAATTATTAAGAGTTTGTAAAGTTTATATAATTGTAGGACAAATAAATACATTTTGTTTATATATATGTGTAAAGTTTTTAGCGCTCATTATGAAATGAATACATAATAATAATTGTGTGGCTCAAAAGTTTTGCACGCCACTGTATATTTACGAAAGAATGCTTTTGATCCCGGGAAATTCTCAATTCGTCCGTCTGATCGTAAGTTTTGCATGTCGATTTCACTCGCGAGGAAACTCGAAAGCCCCGAGATTTTCGACCGACGCGAGCGCTGATCAAAATCAGCCCTTTTCCAACGATAGCGGTCCTCGCATCACCGCTCACGTTCGTCACGTGAGAACATTTGTTTTACGGCGTCCCGTAAATCCCGTGCGAAAATGAATACGTATTTTATAGACTTGAGCGCGCGTAGTGTGTGTGTGTGTGTGTGTGGCGGGCTCGTAAAGGCCGGCTTGTTAAATCCTCTTCCAGGTCGGCGATATCAATAGGGTCGGCAGCAGCAAGAGACCGAGCAGACGGAGCAGCTGCGAGAGTCAGGTGACCAGCGACGAGCTGTCGCTGCGTGAGATGACGCCGAGCTGCGAGGAGAAGCCGAGGATGATGAAGATGGGGAAGAGGAACATAAAGGCCCAAGTGCGTTTCATATCGGCCAGTCAGTGGCACTTTGATACCTTACCTGACTGTAGGACCTATTTCTCGAGCGTATAAAAACGAATGAGCAACATCGGAGGCCGTGTAAAAGACTTATGAGTCTTGGAACTGGCTAGCGAATGACATTTGGGGCGCAATGATGACGAAAAATTCATGATAGTCGGAGCGATAACTTTTTAACCGAGCGGCTCTATTCAGGATTTTATAGAAAAAATTCGGGAAACGCAGAACGGAAAAACGTGCTGAGCAAGCTGCGAGAAGTTTCGTCACATGTCTCTAACGATTCTCGAGTTATGAGGAAACATACAAACAAACGAGACAACCTGAAGACTTTCTTTCGTTGAAATCGACTTCTGGGTAATCAATTGAAAAAAGTTTTCCAAGAAAGTCAGTGTTTAATCTATCGATTTTAATATTAGCGGTCTCGTTAGGTAGGATTTAAATTTAAAACCCAAAAGTCAAGCGCCTCGTCGCTTTTAAAAAGTTTTGAACGGTGCCTTGGAGAGCAACGGGTTAAAGTAACGTGACGCGAATGAACTTGTCGAGTGTCCGCAATCCTCAAGTCAGAGTAACCTGTTGTCGAAACGATGCGAGACTCTTCGTGAGAATAAATTTTATTTATTTTATTTCTTTATTCATGAGAGTTTTTTCATGACTTGGCGAAATGAAAGGTTTCGGCCGACAGAGATTGCTTCCCATTAATATCTCAGTCGAAAGACGATGAGAACACTACAGTCGCGGGCACTCCGGTGGAAATTGATTTAGATCGCAGAAATAATAACGGGAATAGAACTCCGATGGAATCGCTCGCGTGGAAATCAATCGATGTTTCCATTGGCGTTCGAACGAGAAACAGAGCGCGCATAACGGCGAGTCGTATGCGCAGGTGAAGAGGTTTCGCATGGAGACGAAGGCGGCGAAGACGTTGGGCATCATCGTCGGCGGCTTCATCATGTGCTGGCTCCCGTTCTTCACCATGTACGTGGTGCGCGCGTTCTGCCCGAACTGCATCCATCCAACCGTCTTCAGCGTTCTATTTTGGCTAGGATATTGCAATTCCGCGATCAATCCCTGCATCTACGCTCTCTTCAGCAAGGACTTCCGCTTCGCCTTCAAGAGAATCATCTGCAAGTGCTTCTGCAAGCGGCGCGCCAATACCCTGCGACGCGGCAGCGACGGCAGCCAATTGGCAGTGAGGTCAGTTGTTCTTTCTCTTCACCATCTCTCATTACGATTACCGAAGCGCTTCCATGTCGATCCTGCAGCTCAGAGTCTCGCGACTCGGCCTCCGACCGGGGCGATTTTAAACTCGAGCTCTACGTTTGCTTCCCGGAGCGTGCCTCCCGCAAATTTTCTAAATCCTCCGCATAATCCTGCGCCTTCAATTAACCAAGGGAATTACGAGATTGGTGTGAACAAAGTTTGAATGTAGAAAAGATTAGAATAACACACTGCAGAGAGGTGAAAACGCGCGAGTAGAAGAGAGAAACAAAGAGAGAGAGAGAGAGAGAGAGAGAGAGAGAGGAAAGGAAGGGGAGGAAGAGTAAGAGAGCTTGCTCGCTTCAGCGGCGAGGTGGGAAACGTGGTGCAACTGATGAAGAGAATCTAATTAGCCGAGCAAAATCGCATCAGAGCCACCTCGGCACTGAATCGCGGGACAATCGCAGCCGCGGCGTCGCGCAAACGCACGCTCTCTCTCCCTCGCCCTCGCCCTCTCTCTCTCTCTCTCTCTCTCTCTCTCTCTCTCTCTATCTCTCTCTCTCTCTCCTGATCTCTCTCGCTCTCTCACGATCACGGTTTCCCGTGTGCTTCTCCGCAGGAACGAGCGCAGCCCGAGCTGCTCGATCCGCGCGCCCCAGCAAGGGATTTCCATCGACGACTCGGACTTGGATCCGGCGTCAGACCCGACGCACTCGCAGAGCGAGTCCAGATGATCGTAGCGGCGCGTGCGGGCGGGCGCCCCGTGCGTCGCCTTCAACCCTAGCTCCTCCGAGGCGAGGATATTCTCCTTCTGACGGCAACACCGGACGCCGAGTGCACGTCGTCGAGTCCTCGCGTCGTGGCGACGCGCGGGTCAGCCCCGAGGTGCCAACGTTACACCACCCGCTGCTCCGGGAAACGCGCCAGCGAACATCCCCTCTAACGTAACGCGCGAGAGGTCCAGGTGGACGAGAGAGGTCCAGCTGGCGAGCGTGGACCTCTACGCGTAGACTGAGGCCTCCACCAGAGGCTGTGAAGACCGATGAAGTCTCTGATGAGGACAGCCAGTGCCTCAGACGTCCGATCTTGTGTCTAGCTTGGTTCTTCTTCGAGCGAGTTGGGCGAAGATAGAATGCCTGTGTGGACAATCGAAGGTGAACATAGCTGTCCTTGTATCTTGCCTTCGGATTATAAGAAGGCACACAGTCTATGTAAAGATTTCTGGTGGCGAACGACTTACTCTCAGCTGCCCTGTTAGCCCGTTATCCGTTATTTGAAGAAAGTGAGAGCGAGTTACTCGCCGCTCGCGACTCCTCGCTCGGCTCATCCTCGCATCGGCTCCGGGCGGTAAGCTCCACGTGATGGTAGGTCACCCCGCTGAGGAAACACCCACTTCCGCCAGAGAACGCTGGAGTGTGCAGACTTTGCCCCTCGCGCGGAATCGGATCTCGGCGGGTGCAGCTTGGGACGCGATAGGCTTCTCCTCGTGAGGAAGGAAATCGAGGGAGGAAATGAGAGAGCGCGACGAGGAAGACGGGAGACGCGGGTCTCTCGTGGCACTTGTTCCTCGCGGGAGGAATCTTCTTGCACGCGGCGCTTCGCTTCGACTCGCACGTTGACAGAGCTTGCGGAGAAGAGCGGTCTTTCTCGTCCTTTACGAGTGACCACCGCTGTCATGGCCGCCGTCCGGTGAAATTGCAGCGAGCCGTCGTCGCTGCACGTTGCTGTTACGGCGTGCACGGCGTGGACCGGCGCGGAGTAATCGCTCGCTCGCTCGCTCGGCATCGCCTCGGCGTCGCATCATTCGAGCGATGCACGTGAAGCCCGTATCAGACTATGAATTCTTGGTTCTGATTGGTTAAATTTCAATTCGATACTCAATCCCAATCTGTAGTCTGATAGTCGGGCTTTAGAGCTCCAGTTAGTGCCCGTCTGACATCGGACGCTATTCCGGTAGCTGATTGTTCGGATTGCGAGTACGTAAACGAGCCGCTCGTCAAATTCGGCTCATCTCTCTCCGGGGAACAACTGGAGCGTCGAATCCGAAGCCGAGTGCAAGTTCGTAGCGGAATCTGCCAAACTGACACGTTCGCGGCAATCCCTCCCGACAATTTGATAATTAATTAATAAACCAATATTTTATGCAATTTCACGGCTCACAGCCTGAAGACGATTATTTATGCTTATTTATGCGTATCCGGATGATTACGTTTATTTATACATGAATTATGTATGAATAATAATTAATTCGGTTTTCTCGTTTATTTTTATCTATAATTTGAATGGATCTACACTCGAGTTTGGATCCGGCTCTCTTATTACAGTCGGATCCGAGTAGTAAAGTTTTCAGTTTCCAGATCGAAAGTGACCTCATTCGGGTAATTAGATATCGAAGTATTCGGGAGCCCTAACGTGTGCACGAGCACCTTGCTGCATCGTGCTTAAGCCATTTTGCAACCAAGTGAACATTCGCCTTCTCCCTCCTCTAACGCGACTATTCGCGTTCCTTCCTCCGCACGAGAACATCCCCGATCGCTCGCTTCCCTTCCACGCGACCACCTCTTGATCGTCCCATTTATCCCAATCGGTGACTCGCGAATGAGTTGTGCGCGTTGAATCCCCGCGTCCCTTCAACTCCAATCTCGACAAGATGAACGATCGACCGATCACTCCGGGCTAACCGCAGGCAGCAGCACCGGCGCGCGCGTTCTGCCGGTCGTGTCGTGTCGTGGCGTTTCGCGCCGCCCTTGGGGGAAATCCCCGAAGTCATCGATGATGATCCATCACATCAACGCCCGACACGCCACGTCGTCGCCACCACTCTCGGCGATCGAAGAGAAATGCGCTCGAGAGACGCGAGTATAACGAGCGACAGCAGATCTGTGTACATATCGGTATCTATGTGTGCGCAATAACACGCCAAGTATGTCGTTATCTTCTATATAAACCGATGTTTGCGCGCTCGCGCACGCTCGTATAAATCGACGTTTTCTCTCCCCTTTTCTCCTCCCCCTCATCCCGCCCATATTACTCTTTTTCCTTCTTCTAGGATTCTCTGTTCCTTTCCCCTCCTCTCTCTCTCTCTCTCTCTCTCCCTCTCTCTCTCTCTCTTTCTCTCTCTCTCTCTCTCTTTCCTTAGCCTCTTCCAGCTTCCTACTTTCCGCTTTCGCGCGATTTTCCAGGACACAGCTGGAACGAGCGGCTACGACCTCGCGGAGGTATCCGTTGATATCTGCGTTTTTTCTACGTAATTTCGCGAATGTGTATAAAAGGACATCGCGTCCGCATCGTTGTATAACACACACCGCGCGTGTATATATATATATATATATATATATATAACACACGTATTACATTGCACAAAATAAAGCAATACGCGCGGGGCGCCGAGCAGCGACGCGATCGTTATTATTATTGTTATTATTATTATTATTATTCAACGCTCGCGCGGAAGGATTCGGATCCGTCATCCCCTTACGTAGATGGTTGTCCTTTAGCTAGGTTTCTACATCTCGGCGAGAGGGGGCGGCGAGACGGCCGATCGACTTCAATGCGTGATTCGTGTATTATGTGATATGTATATCGTATAAATATCGTATAAGAAACGGTATGAGAATAAAATATGTGAATACGTACGAACGGACACGTGAGCCCTCGTTATCCACCAGCCGCGTGACGCCCAGGTCAACGAGAGGTCAACGTCGGAGAGGAACGCCCCTTTCGAAGTACGTACAATCGCATCACCGTAGCCGACAGAGGCTTCCGTTTGTTACAGTGCCTGCAGGTAGTCAATTATAATTTAACTTTCGCAAGCTCTTTGTTTTTATTTTCATATACGCGCTCATGATGCGCTTCGACTGTGGGAATACATCAGGATTTACTACGATTGTCCCGGTGTCCATTATTCCACGGCGAAGAGGTGCTCGGCCGCGGTAGCACTTAACTCGCTTGAATCGCGCCGTAAAAAGATCCCACTCGCCAACATTATGAACCGCGGCGCGTTGGTGGGAATTCAATTATGCGCCGGTAATGGTCCACCGCCGGTTGACGGATTCCCGATCAATGGTCGGTCCCGCCCCATTACGCCCAGCTATCCCGGAATCGCGTATCACCGATTTAATATGAGTTAAGCTTCCGCGCGCTACGTGGAATTCGTCAGGCCCAGCCGAAATCATGGCGCTTCGAAAATCCCTTCGCGAGAGGCTTGATTCGCGTTGCGCGGCTAAAACTGAGACTTTGAGCGGGCTTCAAAGCAGCAAGTAGACGTGTGTAGAGCACTTTCGCCACATAGTACACACGGGAGCTTGGACAAAGGTGCTTTCTAGAGTCACCTGTCACAATTTCCTACAGCTACAGCTTATCAGAGGACACCTCGTGAAATGCCTCGTTGCCGAAAGTCCTCGAGGCCATGCTGATCTTCTGGTGTTGAATCCGAGTTAATTGGTGGGAAACGCGAGGGTTTATGGAGAGACGCGTTACAGAGTTCGCGTCAGAGATATATATCTACTGGATCTACTAGCTGGAGACATCAGCAGCGACCGCGTCCGTAACTTCCGCAGTCGAGCGTTTCCATCGCGCACACCTTGCCCCGTCATGTTTCGCTCATCGATTCCCCCGGGATCCTATTACGAGCTAGGTACAATTCGATCTGGACCTCCTCCTCGCTCCTGCTCTTTGCCGCTGGCACCAATGCAGAGACAAACACGGTGCCGATTAAGTTAACCATGCCGAACATGGCGAAGGACGAGGAGATTCCCACGAGGTCGTCTATACACTGGAAGCATTTGATGGCCAAGAAGGCCGACATCCAACTGCACATCGCGCCGGCGAAGCACGCCGCGCTCCTCACGCTGCTGTCGAAGAGTTCGCTGATTATCATCCACGGTATCGAAGCGAAGCCGAGGCTGAAGGCCGCGAGGAACACCGCGATCGAAAGCACCGGGACCCAGAAGACGCGAGAGAGGTCGTGCGAGTCCTGAAATGAGAACAGACTCGAAAATGACGTGGAAATGCCAAATCGCAAATCGATGCACGAGCAAAATTTAAATATCGAGAATCATCAGTTGTGATTATTGAAACTGTTATTAGTGTAATATGCGTGCAGCAGAGAAAGAGAGAGAGAGAGAGAGAGATTGGGAACCGATAAACATCTTAATAATAAAGCTTGCCTCAAGAAAGTGGAAGTATCCCGACAGCACGAACATGCAGGTGGCCATTACTGACGCGCTGAGGAACAACAGTAACTTTTTATCCACCCATTTGATTATAATATTCGAGAAACAGGTGGCGATTACTTGCACGCCACCGATGATCACCGACGACTCGAGGGGACTCGGCGACGAGACCTTCGAGATGTTGAAGATACCATTCGCATAAATGAGCAGGACTGTTACGCCGGAGAACTGCTGGAGAATTATCAGACCTGTAAAATGTAGCGATTTGAGACGTCAATGCGATTCGAATCACCTGCACCGCCGAGAAAGAGAGAGAGAGAGAGAGAGAGAGAGAAAAGTGGTAGAGCCCGCGACACAGAAATTGCTCATGAATAGAAATTGCTCGGAAATTAAAACGAAAAGGAGTCGAGACGAAGCGGACCTCGCGACGTTAACACGACGACTCGTCGATTGCTTCAACGGAATGATCGCGAGCGATCGGTCGGCTGATACGACCGAATGAATTTCTAATGACCGAGTAAAATACAACATCGGGCGTGCCGACTTACCGAGCATGATGCAAGTCGGCCGCCGGTGGTTCTTCAGCTCCGAAATGCCAACTCGCACCTTCGCGGCGTACAGCTCGAGCCTTGTCAATTCTGTCTCGATGCGATAACGAGGCCACCCTCTGAAGCGCCTGAGCGCGTCGTACGCCTCGTCCTTCCGACCTCGCATCACCAGCCACGCCGGCGATTCCGGTACGAAGGGGAAGGAGATCAAAAGCAGAGTGGGCGCCACGGAGCACAATATCGCGGTGGAGGGCAGGTTATAGGTGAAAGCTGCCAACAATTGCGCGCCGCTTATCATTTCAGGCGAGTTGTTGCGAACTTGTGTTCCAGAACTCGCACGACCGCCGTTTTCACGAGCCGTACTGCCACTTTATCAACACCACTCGCGCGGGACCGCGGCAAAAGTCGAAAGTATTTTACATAAGGCACTTTCCTCTGACACGTCTTACCCTTTCTTGGATGCAATATCGGATGGCGTTCGCGCGTCACAGCTTCTCCCTCCGTCCGGAGGGATCATCGCGGCAATCGTGCAGCCGCGTCGAGAACGCGAGAGTATTTCATTCGTGCAATTTTCCCGACGTACTTCGGTTACGTGTGTCATCTCGTTTCCCGACGAAAGATTATTAATTTCACCTTACCGGAGTTTGTTACCACCGCTTGTTAAATACCGTCTATCGGATAAAGATTCCTCGCACGAGCATCGTCGCGACATCGTTGAGCGTCTGCGTCGAAAACACGAATATTTCATTCATATAAATTTTAATTGTGTGCGAGCAATTGTCTCTCTCGAAGAAAGATTAATCCCGCATTACGAGACACTCGTTTAATATTAATCGCCTGCCTTATCAATCGATTGTCGACCAGTCGGACGGCCCTGGAGGAAACTTGAAGCGGCTCGCACGGGCTCGTTTGATTTTTCCTTTCGCGGAAACGTTTCTTTTTTACCGGTGGCGTACGTAAAGAGGATCCCGGCGGTGATCTGCAACTGAAAAGCGACGCCAAACAAGCCTCCGGTGCTCCGCTCGGCGATCTCGGAAATGAACATGGGAACAACGACGGATGCTGCGCCGCATGCTGCTCCGGCCGCGAACAGTGCCAGGAAAATCCTGCCGATGGAGAAAACGCGAACGTAACTTAAGCAGAAAATCGATGAAACTGCACACTGAAAGTCGCTCCCGCTCGGAGACGCCGTGGCCGATGTAATCGATGGGTAAAATGCTCATGGAGGACAAACGAAGGACCTCGGGACTTTGTGAGAAAAGTTCCATCGATGCAAATCACATTAGAACGATATTGGGGATGATGTTTCACCAAACGGCTTTTCGCGAAACTTTTTCACGTGATCTTTCATCAAACGGCTTTTTACTGTCGCGTGACTCGGCAAGGACACATCACTCGGCGAAAATCGTGCAAATTTCGACATTTCCCCTGCTGTTGATCCTGCTAACATGACGTAACATTTCCGGAGCTTTCATTTTGTGCGGTGGTGAGAGAAGGATAGATAGATACGTGAACGTGTGCTTGTATTGTCGCCAGAGGAAAACATCTCCGTGAACATCATTTCTACAGGTAATACAAATCAAGTTACGCGGCGGTTAATTGCAAAAGTAACAAAGAGGAAAAAAATTGGAATAGTACAATGAAAGGGAGTGAGACGAAAGTGCAGGTGATGGGAGAATGTGAGAAAAAAACTAAACAATGAGAAAACAAGATACCGAAGGTCGAAAGTGTACAACCTATAATAGTCTCTTCGGAGCTAGAAGAGAGAGAGAGAGAGAGAGAGAGAGATTTGACTGATTACATTTCCGAGGGCGACGTAGGCGCGCTCGCCGGTGGGGTAAAAATCGAAGGGCACTCTCTTACCATATCTTGCTCTTCGCGAATGCGATAATGTACCAACTTAAGCACAAGGGTACGGTGATCGCCCAGATCGTTCTCTTGTGGCCAAACCTGTTCGCCAGCATTCTCACCGGCATGATGCCCAGGACAGCGGCGAGAGGAACGAGCAAGGTGACCCAGAAAACCTTCTGCTTGACGACAAATGCGTCCTTCTTGAAGCGAGTTACGAGCGTGACGTTCGTCCACGCCAGGTACGTGCCGATCGAAAAGGCGGCAAGCGTCGCTAGAAACACAAATCGGTATGCACGGCTAGGTATCGGAGACACCTTTTGCACCCCGAGAATGCGTCTTACGGGGGGGGGGGGATGAGCGGCCTTATTCGATTTATCGCGTGACGCACATGTGTGCGCGCTTTATCTTCCAAGATATTCTTCTTCACCTCGAGAATATTTTCTTGAACCGTTCTTCACGTTGCCCTCGTCGAATCCCGCCGCTAAGTTGAGCCGCATAGGATGCGTTCGAAGAGACGTCATCGTCTCCATCGGCTCCACGAACAGTTTTGCCAGCGTTTGCGTTGGTAGCGCTAATAACGTTGCCTCGTATACGCACGCTTAGTCGAGTCGAGCGATGTTTATCGAGAAAACTAGTTTGAACCGCGATACGGAGTTCCGATCGAATTTGAGACTCTCTCGAGGATTAATACGGCGCTCGCACACGCACGGAACTTCGGCCCTTTGCGGACTACAATTCCAAAGTTTTTCGAAAGTTACGCGCTTTCACACTCGCGATTTACATATTCAGGCCGCGCCTCCTACTTACCGTTGAATCGAAAGATCTCTCCCTATTTCTTAGATACGACAGTCGCGCGTGATATTATCGCGCGGATTCGCTGGAATTAAACGCAAAACTCACTCACCCACGAGCACGCCCACGCGCTGTGTGAATTTCGGAGTCGCTCGTAGCCGTCCGCCCTCCTCCTCTTCTGTCGCAATTAGAGGCATTGTGCGTCTCGCGTGAATCGCTTGTGCAGCCGCGCTTCAGCCACTTGGTGATACTTCGCGAAAGTGGATCGCTGCTGCTTGGCGCGTGGCTCGTTCGAACATCAAAAATCGAGACAGAAACAGAGGAAAGAAGAGAGAGAAGGAAAGAGAGCCTCTCTACGTCCCGTTATCTATCGCGACCTTTGGCGCTTACGTAATGACCCACGTCGCTCTTCGTATTATCACATAGCTTCGACGCAATTACGTACAAATACGCGTAACCGCGTCAGAAGTATAATTGTATGCGGATAAAGTTCGTGTGCGATCATTCAACGGCATTTATGTCGCTCTTGGACGCCGCGCATGTTTCGCTCATTGCATTCACTTACGATCGCTTGCTCGTGCCTCCAGCCAATGCGATGCCAACGCGATGCCAACGCTATCGCAGTCTCCGAAAACAGCGTGCTACTGATGTTTCTCGACCGTGAATGAAAATCGCTGGATCTTCGGATCGAGAGTGAGGATACTGAAGTTTCGATTGTTCTAAAAGTGCCGAGCGAGCGACGCATTTCTTCCGAAAATAATCCCCGGTGATTATCCGCAAGCCGGCTTAAGGAAAAGAAAATCACCCGCGCTATTTCCTTTCTTGATAAAATAATAACTTTTATTGAGTGCGTAAATGTCTACATGTTCAATATTATATTTTAGGCAGATAGCTGATGATGTTCCTCGATCACAAGTGAAGAAGAAATCGCTCAGTCCTCGAGCTCGGGAATGAGAATTAAAGTTCGGTAGTTTCGTTTGCTTGAAAAGTGCGGCATTTCTCCTGAAAATAATCTCCTGCTTATCTACAGGTCTACAAGAAAAAGAACACATTACCCCGATTTCCTTTTTTAATAAAATACGAATTTTTATTGAATGCATAAGTGTTTGCGTGTACAATGTTATACTTTAGATAGAAACTTAGGGAAGGATAAGTGAGAAAATATACAGAGACACGCAACAACGTAGAAATTGCATTTTTCGTCTGTATTTGTTTGAAATATGATCGATGGATGCGCGGTCCACTGACAATCTCGAAGATCCGTCTTCCTGAACGTTTCCGTCACACGCTCGCTGTGCGCTCGCGATAAGAATGATGGGAGTAGATCGCCTACGATGTGTACCGCGAAATAATTTAGTCCCTGCCAGTGCCTTCGCGAGAGTAAGTTTGACAATATCGGGAAAAGAAAGAAAGAAAAATAGGGGATGAAAATAAAGTTAGTCTTAAAAGAAGACGCTCGAATACAAATCAAGTCCGTTCCTCAGCGTTTCCGCGAGAATAAATGTCGAACGGACTCGAGAAGCATTCGCGAAGGTATTTCCTCGAATCCCCGACACCGATACCTATTAGAGAGAGAGAGAGAGAGAGAGAGAAAGAGAGAGAGAGAGAGAGAGAGAGAGAGAGAGAGAGAGAGAGAGAGAGAGAGACAGACGTCGCATTTGCATTCAGATCTCCAGACTGAGGGATACGTAGCCTTCTTTTTTTATTGCATATTCTCGCTCGTCGCTGCGAGCGCGATCGCCGTTGACGAAACTAATCGGCGCAACATTTGCGCGAACATTTGCGAGCGCAATCGAACGAACTTGCACGGGGCGATCCACGATGTCGATCCGTTTTCCCGCCCTCTTGAGCCCTCAGTCGAAAAAACCCGTCTCGCGAAATTCACGAGACAACAACGTACATATGCTGGATTTGATCTTCCGAGAGTCCGCGCGCCCGCTCGAAATCGCGCGACGTTCCGAGAGATTCTCAATGCAGAGGAGAGGATCGCGTTTACGGCACATTAACGTCTCGTCTCGTTGCATCTCACAAGTCGACACCAGGCTCCAAAGCGACGCAAGCTCGCAGCCGTCTCCTGCGCGACATTCGCTGCGAAGACGGTGGGGTCGTCACTAAGCCTCGGGCAGGTTGGTCGCCAACACCCGGAATCCGTTATGGTCAGCGACGTAGTGCACCTGCTGCAGAATCCCGTTGGGGTCGATGTAACTGTAGGCGCCTCTGGTGGTGCCATCCAACGACCTGGACTCGGTCTTGGCACTGGAGTCCCCGGTGTAGCTATAGTCATATTGGCCCAACGAGTCCTGGGTGTGTTGCAGCGAGCTATGGAGGAATCTGTAAGGCAGCACCGAGAACACATAGGGTGTAGGCATAGCTATCGGCCTCTGAGCGCTGGCGAGCGGCACCAATTTGCCGTGGTGCAGCGCATTCTGATTAGACGTCTGCTCCTCGTCCTTGAAGAGCGTGTTCTCCCTCAACGACGTCGAAGTGGGTAACGAGAAGCCGCCGATGGCGGTGGCGGCGGTGGGAAGCGAAGGCGCGGACGTTATCTGGGAGAGACTCGGATCCGGCTTGGGAATGTCGATCCTGTCCGCCTCCGACCTTGACAGTAGAAACGGATTCTTCGTGCTCTACGAGGGTGAAGAGAAGAGGAACAGGATAACAGATCGATTGTTTCGACGTTGCGATTGCGATGAATTGTCCCCGGGCGTGATATTTCGGGAGGGGGTGAGGGGAGCTGCAGGTGCAGCTTGTCACGAGTGCGCTTTAATTGGGTGATATGATTACGCAGATTTCGTCACTGTTTGGCACGATCGTGGCTCGATCCAATCGCGGCAATATTTTATTATTTTATCTCATGTTTGTAGCGTGTGAATTTTTCATCCTCGAATCTACACCTGCGAATTCTGCGTGTTTTACCCAACCCAGCATAATATCCGCAAACTACCCGCTCAAATTTCCGCGCGAACGGGAAAGTGAATTTCGGCTCAAATGAGGACAACCGCGGCAAACTCACCTCCGCGTCTCGCGCGTTCGAGCTTACATCGACTTTGCCGTTTCCCTGCGGTTGGATCTGAGCGAGGCTGAAGTACGACGGTAGGATCTTGTACGACAGGAGGTTCTGATCCTGCCAATTGGCCTGTTGCGACTTCTGCAATTCCTCGAGGTGATCCCTCTTCGCCGCGGCCACTTCTGGCGTGTCCTGTATCGTCTGCAACTCATCCTTGGGCGGCTGCGGTAAATTGCTAGCGCTCACTCGAAATCCATTTTGATCGTCCGCCGTGTACGAGACCGTTTGCAAAATTCCATTTGCATCGATGTAGGAGTATCCTGCGGGCGAACGGAGATAATACTCTCTTCGATAAATAGCGTCGGCGCGCCCTCCGGGAAACCGCGCTTTCGAGCAGAGGAAGGCGTTTATCTCTTGCGGAAAATTGCTACCGAAGATCGCTACACGGTGCTGTTGCATTTTTTCTACTTGTAGAATATTTACCATAATTCTTATATTATTTCACCAACATATAACGAATCGACTAATGAGAACCCGGATCGCATAATTTAATCCAAATCCCTCGGAAGGACAAGATCTATCGTAATTCTTTTCCCCTTTCTTCTCTCCTTTTTCGAATATTTTTCGACTCGAACCATCTTTCGATCCTTCATCCTCAGTATTAATTATTTCAGTCAATCTCGTGGTATTAATGACAAAATCTCCTGCGTCCTGCGTCCCTAGTATATAAAGTTAACATCGTTCGTCGACGGCGGGTTGGGATCCCACACGCGTTTCGCCGATTACGTTAGCGCGACTTCCAGTTGCGCGTTACACAGTCGAGCGTACGGTGAGTCATATCTCGCGGACGAACGAAAGTCCGGGATAAGCTCGAATCGCTCATCGAGCACGCAAACCGCGCGCGCATTGTCGTCCGAGGAAATTTGCAGGGACGAGGCATGGGCGTTTTCTTGCGTCACGCCGCGGCGTGCGCATTAGCGAGGGATTCTCTCGCGACACACGTAGGCTGGTTCTCGCAACACTTCGGCAAGAATGCATTCCATTTATGCATTTCTCTCGCGGCGCTCACGGTTAGATCACGAATCATCGACTGTGGAGCGAGACCGTCGCCTTGTGCCCAGGACGGGATGTCTCGGGTCGGAGCCAGGCTTGGTCGCGGATATTTACGACCGAGGGGATTCTACCTCGAGCGAATGAACGAACGAAAGTCCGGGACGAGCGCGAAAGTCAAGAGTGAGACTCACCACCCTGCGTTACGCCATTCAAGGTGGATTCCGCTTTGGCATGGTGGGGTCCTGTGAAGGAATACTTGTATGAGCCCGACCCGTCCTGTATGTGGTACTGCCTCAATGGCGAGAGGGCTGGTATCGGACTCAGCCAGACATTGGCGGCGATCGGCGAGGCGATGGATCGCCCGACGACAAGGCTGCACAGGATCGCCTGCGGGCAGAGGAATGACGAGCGATGATCGTCATCGAGTTGAATTGTCATTCGCGCATGAAGAAGAAGGAGAAAGTAAAACGATTTCGGCGGAGAATTCGGTACGAATTCTCTTTGACACTGGAACAGCCAAGCGATTAAAATGACCAGTTCGCAATTTCATAAATTACTCAAAAGGTATATTATGATGCATTTTTTATTTTTTATTTTTTATTTTTGATGGACTATAACTGAGAGTAAAGCTTGAAAAAATAAATATACATTTTTGTCCTTAAATAACACGTTTCTCCTCCTCTTGAAATCCGAATGAATTGAAAAGAAGTAAATTGAGCTGAAATTGAAAAATTCATAGTTTCAGGAAACACGGAGAAGTTTTGGCACGTAGAATATACAGGAGATGGAAAACGATTTCAGCAGAGACACGAATCCGCCCCTTCGAGTAAGTCGCGTGATTGGTGAGATCGATTAAAGAAGTTTGCAGATTAGAGTTTGCACAAAGCGAAGTTTTCGCATAAGCCAGACTTCATGATGAAAGTTAGCCGACTATGCGTGTGTGTGTGTGTGTGTGTGTGTGTGTGTGTGTGTTTTCATTCACGAATACTGACCGCAACTACGAGTTCGACTTACATTCGCAGGCAGCACATGCGAATTATTAAAGACTCCCGCGGTTGCGAACAAGACCGTGCGAGCCGCGTCGGTTCGCCGACGTCGACGCGCTCACTCGAGTGCGGCAATGTTTGTCTTGAACGTTTCATCTCGCAAATTGACTGCGAACTATCGCCGAACGCTCGCGTTTGTCCGGCCGCAGTTAATTAACTCACGGCGGTGCACCGACGGTACGGTCGCGCGCGGTCAGCACGAGCGCGCAACTTCATGAACGTCCCGCACGAGAAGAGCGATCCCCCGCGGTCGGTCGACCGCGACAAGTCGGTCACGAGAAAAGACTGCACACCCCTGAAAGGCGCGATAAGCCATATCGATCGCAAGATCGGCCGAGAAGTACTCGCATTCGTCATGAACGCCTTCTCCATGGGCCAAAGCGATATTCCACGAAGCGTGAATCCAGGACTTCGACCCGAGTCGGCGAACAACCTCGCGCGAGTAACCTGGCAATTTGACCGAATCGATAGTTATGATACCGGACTGATACCGAGCCCGCTCTCTCGTGTATTATACTTCCGCTGCGGCGTACACCCGACAACAGCGGCAATTGACAGTAACGCGAAGGTAAATTTGCCGGAAACGTGAGCTAAATAACGCGATCAAACAACACCGGGATCGATAAGCTCGCTCGGCGTGTCGCTTCAACATCGGACGGCGCACTCTTCGAGTCGACGCGACGCGGTGGATTAAAAATCGCGGGAAACTGCCGTTCTCATATCAACGAGCGGCAACAAGACCGAAGTTTGCTCGTCCTTCGCGAAACGAGCAGCTCCTAGCTCAGCAGAGATACCAGCACCGCGACCAGGTAGATCAGAAGAACGCGCGCGCCAAGTAAAAAGAGAATCCCGGCAGACGACCTCGACAGAGATACGTTCCCGCTGTCGCGTCGTAAATCACACTTGCCGCCGTCAATCGCGCCCGATAATTAGTCGATAATTGGCCCGATAATCAGCCGGAGAGGAGCAAGACGACGGTGCGCGCGCGCGCGCGTCGCGCTCGTGAAAAATGAGCTGGGGTGGATTCACTCACGAGTATCATGGTCGTCCTCGGATGGACCAGGTGCCGCTGAAGGTGCCGTTGATCGTTCGTGACGAGCGCGCGCGCGCGCTGATGATCCGCTCCGACTGTCTCGTAAGCGCGCGACTCTCTGTTTCCCTCTTCCTCTTTTCTCCCGCTCGCGATGCCTAGGATAATCCCGGCGAGAGTCGGCTAACGGGTGTGAGAGTGCAAGCTCTCTCGGTCGCATCCTCTTATATAGGAAGCCGCGGATCTCTGCCGCGCGCGCGCGCTTACGGTGGTTCCCCACCAGCTCCGCGCGCGTTGGGCCCTATTTGCGGGGCCCTACGAGCCGCACGAAGCGCAAACGCGCAAGTGCGCTCGCTCACGGGGCCCTAAGAGGCCTGTGGCCACAAATCACCCCGAGTTCGATTTCCAGGCCGATAAATCAATGTTTATTGGTGTCGGCTACGAGCCGTCGATCTCGCGCGCATTCCGGGCGCCGAGGATGCGTTTTTCGAGCCCCTGTCTCCCTCCCCGCCCATGTAATAAGGATGCACGCACCGGGCTTGTAATAACGCCGCAACAACAACTACGGCAGAGGAGAAGAGAGAAAGAGAGAGAGAGAGAGAGAGAGAGAGAGAGAGAGAGAGAGAGAGAGAGAGAGAGAGAGGAAGATAATTCACGCTGAGCTCTCGGATTTTAAATCTCGTCCTCTCGCAGCAGGCGCCGGGCGGATCTTACTCGTCGACCGGCGATATCGCCTAAGTAGATGTATAAATTACTTCACGTCGACGCGCCTGTTCCGATATGGAATTTACACGGAACGTCCGGGCTGCGTGCTTCGCGTCCGCAGATTTTTTTTTTTTTTTTTTATCAATTCGGAGACGACATCTTTTTCTGCCTCGCGAAAACGTCGAAGATCACGTACTAGCGAACAAAACCCAAGTCGATATTTTGGCTTGAATTTACTCTGCAAATTCCGAATTTGGATATTGCCTTACCCAGATAACATTTTCTCCAGGTTGAATTGTCCTTGGAAAGGATTTTTTCAAGAATTAATATTCGATTATCCCAATATTCTACTTGTGCATTTCGAATTTTTATTCTCAATTATGCGATATATTCATTTATATTAATGATAATGTATATTTTATAATTTAATTGACTAGAGATTAAATCCAATATAAAGATCAATGAACGAGTATAATAAACGAAACAACAAAAAGTTTGCCTCTCCATCATCTTTTTATGATATATTTTCTTCTTCATAGATGTTGGAAATATGTATTTGCACGTCTAGAAATGTATGATGCATCTCGTTGCCCGTTGCTCCTGGCCTTCCGATGTAGCATCCTGCTCCCAGATTCACATAGAAACGATTCGATCGGGAAGAACGTGTGCGGGAATCAACGCGATGCCGCCGAGAAGCCGAATCAATGTTTCAAGAGCCGAGACGGAACGTGTTATGTAAATGTAACGTAACGCTCGGTAACGGAAAACGGTTACGATTGAGCGAGTGATTCGAGCTGCCATCAATCGTCAACAGTCGCAGTTCGTCATTGCGCACCGAATAATTGCAATAATCGAAACATCCCGGACCTTCGAGGCGATGAAGCTCACATTCGTCCATCGCGTAACTTTCCGCGTATTCATTACTTTTCCAATCGGCGAGCAACACAAGCATTCACCCGATACGTGTGTATCGGTGTAATTTATCATTTACACCTTGGAAGATTAAATTTATTACCCTTCATCGGCCTTTCAAGCACTTAATCGAAGTTTCGCCGGCGTCGCGTTATTCAACATGTATCTTTGATCGAATCGTATCCTCGACTGTCAGTGTCAGTGCCAATGCCAGTGCCACGAAGGACCAGCCAGGATGTCGAAAAAACAGGATGCAGGATGCAAGGCACGGACAGCGATACGTGTAAAATTATTTATTATACAAGAGGTCCGATTTTTAATGGACATTAACATTGATTCGAACTTATCTATTAATCTTTACGAAATTATTTAATGCTCGCTTATCCTCAACCACACGTATTCCACTCGCAGTTGAGTAAATTATAATCAGTATATCGCTAACAGGAAAAATTGCAAGAATAAAAATTAGATATATATAGTACCGAGATAAACGAAACGTTAAAGAATTCCTGGACGAGGGAACGTCTGTTCGCAGCGTAAGAGAAAACGACGATAAGCGATTATTCGCAGCGTCAAGGTGAGGCAATCACCTCCCAGCTCCCGTATGATAACGTTCGATATCTCGAGATTCTTCGTCGAGGTCCTTCAAGCATGACGGAATTAACAAGGTTAACGTAGAATCCAAATTTCGCCTGGTCAGGATAACAGGCTCGCCGGCGAGGATAAAGAAATCGTAAAGTCTGACAATTTTCTCGGAACGATACCTTAATAACGTTCCCTCCTGAAATTACGCGCTACGAAATGGATTCTCGCGCGCGCAGCAGGCAATCTCGCGAATTCTCTCCGTGTATCGCTCTCGGGCTCGATGCGCCGCGCACAATTCTATTGAAATCACCGCGCGATTGCCGCTAATAGCGCGCTAAGGCAGCCTGGCAGTTTGTTATCGCCGTACGTTAATACCTCATTACGCTTGTAATCAAAGACTCTCGCATAATTTATGCGGACCATCGCGCGCAATTTCCATTACCGCTAAACCTGACATTAGCGCTAGTTACCCCGCGTACACTCGCACGACGATCACGGCCGATATAGCGTAATAAGCCGCGCGCAGCGTCACGTTGGCGACGCCAAAAGGACGACGAGCGCACGTACGATTATACGAGGCCGCGAAATGACATCGCAAGGGCGCCGTAATGGATAAGAAGAGCACAGCGTGTTGCGCATACCGAGGTGTGCAAAGACGGGCGTTGCGCAACGTCATGCGGCACTTAGCGCGGCCAGGATGAGCCCCGAGACGCGAGGCAAATCGCAATCGCGCGCGCCGAGGAACCTCATATTCAAATCGGAGCGATTCGTCCTGGAAGACGCGTCGTGCCGACGCGACGATAATGATTAGCCGATAGCGCGAGGACGACACCGTGGACGATTGCATCTCGCGAGAAAGTGGATCTCGCATCTTCCCGAAGGCGAAGGTCGAGAACACGACGGACACACAACGCGGCGAGACACGGTGTCCCGTGATTTTTACATGAAGACGCCGCCGAGACACCGAGATTCCACTCGCGCTCTCGCGACTCGAGGATGAAAACAGCTTCCAGTCCAGCGGCCGTCGAGAGAGAAAGAAAGAGAGATACGAGCGTTGTATCGATTAGCAACGAACCGTCGTCGAACGAATCCGGTCCCGACGATTGTGCACCGTGAGATGAGGCTTCGCGGCCATTTGTTGGGCCGCGTCCGCGAGATTAAAGGCGCGTCGAGGGGGTTGAAATAGCGTCCGCGTCTGATTCGCAGCAAAAATCGGCGCGCCGTGGTCCTTGGCAAATAGGAACGAATGCGAATGCAATTAACGGGCGGCTAAAATGAAACGATACCGGCGGCGATGGCGCGGATAAGAGAGAGAGAAAGGGAGAGGGAGAGAGAGAAAGAGAGAGAGAGAGAGAGGGAGAGACGCGGTGGCGTCTTTAGGAAAGGTCCAGGACGGCCGCGGGGCCCGAGCGCCTCTCTCCGCCGCCGATCGCATAAATAACACCCGGCCACGAATTTACGGCTGGCTCGCTTAATCCGACGAGATGTAAGGGAACGATATGAGCGTAACGAGTTCATCAATTCCGACGGAATTACTCACGTGCTCGCGCAACAAGTCGCCGATGAGAGGATTCTTTCGCCGGCGCGCCGACCACGTGGGCGGCGTTGCGTTGGTTTTGACATTGGCACTAAACGGAGCTCTCCCTCTTCTTGTCTCCCTCCCTCCCTCCCTCCCTCCCTCCCTCCTTCCCTCACTCTCTCTCTCTCTCTCTCACTCTCTCTCTCTCTCTCTCTCTCTCTCTCTCTCTCTCTCTCTCTCTCTCTCTCTCCCTCTCTCTCTCTCTCTCTCTCTCTCTCTCTCTTTCACCTCCTCTCCCTCTCATCTCGCATTAAATGGCACTCGTAGAGCCGACTATCTAACCACGCACTCGTGCGGCTCCGATGCGCAATGCAATGCCGTTGAGAATGCCAACGAGAAAGCACCGGACAAACGGCGGTGATCCTAAATCAAGCCCTCCCCCCGCAGCGAGAACAATGGTAATCATTAATTCTCGGCCGACGCGCGGAGCGCGAGGAATCCGATACGAGAACGCGTGCAGGGGGGTCATCCTCGGGGTATTAAAATTAGCGTAACCTTGTAACGAAACGCACGAGAAAGTCTCACGAGTATACCTCTACGTGAACTTTCAGGAACGACTCGTAGATGTTCGATAAAACTCCTCACCCGAGAAGCAACTCGTGAACACTCGCTCGGGCGGAAGGGGTAAGTTTCCCAAATTTATATCGCGAAATACCGCGATCCTGATATCTCTCTCTTCCCCTCTCCTTCTCTCTCTCTCTCTCTCTCTCTCTCCCCGTCCCTCTCCCTAAAGACTCATTAAATCGATGTGTAATTGCCGGCTATTATCCCGCTTCGGTACCTATTCGAGCTATTCGAAGGCACAAACTGCATCGTGCCTATGCGCGCGGCCTCTCTCACGGTTCCGGAATGTGTGTCCCCGCAGGACCGCTCGCGGTGCCGCGAAGCTGGGGAATGTTTTCGCTGTCGGCGTAAGTTGCCCGCCCTCCCGGTATCCCCCGCGACGATTTCAATGCCGAGGTAACTACCGCATCGCGCTAATCGCCGCCGGAACTCTTGCAGCCTAATTGCGACTGCCGCGTCGTGCCGGCGGCGGGTTGATGCCCGTCGCCTCGCGGCCAGCGTTTCTACCCGCCGCGCCGCGCCACGTCGCCGACATCGACGAGCGAACGTTATTCGAACGTATTGCGAACAACTCGCGGCCGCGACGTCTTTATTACGGCGGTCTGTATCCCGCTCGTAAAACTCTCCTCCCGGTATAACCGCGGCGAGAGCGAGAGCGAGAGCGCCTTTAACGTCCCAACCCCCGTCTTTTTTCTCCCCTTTTCTGTCTCACTCGCGAAACTGGTCGCCGTCGTTGGCGCTGCGAGACGCGTCTCTCGCGAATGTATTACGTGCCAGAAGCGTACGAGCTGTTGGCCGAATCGATGCCGGCCGGCGCGGCCCCGGGAATCGTAAAGAAAAAT